AAAAAAAAACACATACAAAAAACAAACGCACACATATTGTTCAGAAGCTAGCGAAGCTACCGGAGGGGATTTGAGCAGAGGGAGTGACCGGGGGACGTGATTGGTCGGTGTCGGGGTCGGGGGGCAGGGATTGGATGCGGCCGGTGATGAGCGCCAATCGGTCGGCTCCACGCTCGATGATACGGCGGCGGCGCGCCTCTTTACTTCCTCCGGTGGCTGCGACCGTCGCCATGGATTCTCCGATGGCTGAATCGAAGTTAATTTTGGGGATTGATTGACCGATTAGGGCTACTTCGAGCTCTGATGGTCTGAATTATTTTATTATATATTTTTCTTTCCTTGCGAGAAGGCGTCGTGTTGAAGTATTTTAAGATACTTCGAGGTTGCACCTTTCTCCCCGTTTTGCCCTCCAACTAGTTTGTCATTCGTATTTGAGCGGAACTAAAACACATCTCGATTCGACTCCGAGTGTGTTTGGTTCAGGGGAGGAATTTTAACGGAGGAAGGGAAGGAAAGAGAGGGGAGGTGATGTAAAATAATTTTACCTTGTTTGGAGGAAATATTTAGGAGGGGAGAAGATAGAAAATGATAAACTTTGTTTGGTTAAAACATTAAAGGAAGGGAAAAAAAATTAAAATGACAAACTTACCCTTAATGTAATAACATAAAAAAATTTAAAACAACTAAAAATAGGGACTAAATGGTCATTTTATATGCTATTAAAACACTTCCCCTCCAAATCCCTCCAATTTTGGAGGGGAGAAAAAGTAAGGGAGGGGAGGGAAAATCACTTAGCCTATGTTTGGTTCAAGTAAGGGAAAGGGAGGTGATGGATCTACTCTTGGATCTAGAGCGAACCGGTGAGAATGAGCCCAGATCTGTCTGAAGCGCCTCCGAACCGTTGCTAGACCGCAAGAATACCTGCAAAAACTCGACACCGGAGGTCTCTCCGATGAAGAGCCTCCGACGTTCAAGTCAGTATCAGAGAGAGAGAGGCTACTCTGAGGAAGTAGCAACTATAGAAAAGTAGTGAGAAAATGAATGGGAGTTAGGGTTTTGGGGTTACCTCTTCTCCTTTTTATAGGAGGAAAAACTACTTGATATGCCCAAGATGCCCTAGGTCGGCGACCCTGAAAGGTCCGAAATACCCTGGTCGATTCGTCTCCCTTGCTGAGTCACTCTCAAGATTCCACCTTATCCTTTAAGTTATCAACAGGCTCCCGCAGAGAATACCCAAGTGTGTGGAGTCGTTGTTATAAGCAATGGCTCGTCATACGAACAGTCGACCTGGAATAGAGGCAAATCCTCTAAGGTTCCAATCTTAGCGATTATCTCTCAGTATACCGATTTCATCGTAGCCGACCTTGACAGGTCGACTTGGGCCAAGTCGACCTCGAGGCACCGATTTGCGGGAGTTCGCGCAAGCTATTTCGCTGAGAGTCGACTTCCCCAGAGTCGATCTAAACGTCTAGATAAGCAGACGTCGAGATACCACCGGTTCTCTGTTTTATGGTTGGCCTTCGAACCGACTTATCTTTATTATGGTTATATCAGGAGGGGAGAGATTTTAATGGAAGGAAGGTGAGGGGAGGGGAGGTGATGTAAAATAATTTTACCTTGTTTGGAGGGATTTGGAGGGTTTTGTAAGGAAAAATGGTAAACCTTGTTTGATTAGAAAAATAGAAGGGAAAGAAAATATTGTAAAAATGACAGTTCTACCCTTAATGATGTAATAAATAAAAAATAAAATAATTCACATAATTAAGGTCAAAAGAGTAATTTTGTTATTAAAAATTTTTCACTCCCCTCCAGATTCCTCCACTTTTGGAGGGGAGAGTATTTTTCCTTGGAGGAAAGATTTGAATATTTTTTCTTGGAGGAAAGATTTGAAGGGAAAATTATAACC